GGGGGGGGGGGGGGGGGGGTTTTTTTGGGGGGGGGGGGGTGGGGGGTGGGGGGTGTTTTTTTTTTGGGGGGTTGGGGGGGGGGGTGTTTTGGGGGGGGTTTTTGGGGGGGGGTTTTTTGTTTTTTGTTTTGGGGGGGGGGGGGGGGGGGGGGGGGGTTTTTGGGTTGGGGGGGGGGTGTTTTGGGGGGTTGGGGGGGGGGGGGGGGTTTTTTTTTTTTTTTTTGGGTTTTGGGGGGGGTTTTTTTTTTTTTTGGGGGTTTGTTGGGGGGGGGGGGGGGGGGGGGGGGGTTTTTTTTTTTTTTTTTTTTTGGGGGGGGGTTTTTGGGGGGGGGGGTTTTTTTTTGGGGGGGGGGGGGGGGGGGTTTTGGGGGGGGTTTTTGTGGTGGGGGGGGGGGGGGTTTTTTTGGGTGGGGGGTTTTGGGGGTTGGGGGGGGGGGGGGGGGGGGGTTTTGTTTTTTTTTTTTGGGGGGGGGGTTTGGGGGGGGGGGGGGGGGGGGGGGGGGGGGGGGTTTTGTTTGGGGGGGGGGGGTTTTTTTTGGGGGGTTGGGGGTTTTTTTTTTTTTTTTTTTGGGGGGGGGGGGGGGGGGTTGTTTTGGTTGGGGGGGTGTGGGGGGGGGTTTTTTTTGTTTGGGGGGGGGGGTTTTTTTTTTTTTTTTTGGGGGGTTTGGGGGGGGTGGGGGGGGTTTTTTTTTGGGTTTTTTTTTTTGTTGGGGTGTTTTTGGGTTGGGGGGGGTGGGGTGTGGGTTTGTTGGGGGGGGGGGGGGGGGGGGGGGGGTGTGGGTTTGGGGGGGGGGTGGGGGGGGTGGGGGCTAGCAGTGGGTGTGAATGGGGCTGCCTCAGGACAGCATGCAGCGCAGTGTGGCCCTTAGTGTTCAACTAGGATAGCCTGGTTGTACACAGAAATTATGTTGATCTCATCTATGTGCTGTTTCCTTGTATGCAGCCTTAGGACTGTTATCAGTTGGCATTGTTTTCCTGCTATCTCCATGTAACAACTTTGCTCAGTGTCACTAGGACAGGAAGGGTGTTAATGGCACAATCACCAGGATAAACTAAAGAGAAAATGTGGGAAGAGGGGACTGATGCCTCCTGTAGGGGGGAAGCAGCAGGTGTCCTGGTGACATTGGGAGGATCTTCAGGAAGCGTTGGTAGAGCCGGGTGTCCCAGTAGTCTGGGGTGAAGGAGGTACTGTTATGTAGGTTGATATATTATGGAGGAGCTGGACTCAGAGTGGAACTACAAAAACTTACATCAAAAATTTATTCTGCTCCATATCTTCGCTAAGAAAAAAAAAAATCCCAAAACGTGTAAATTGATTTACATGAAAGTTTATTTACAAATGACGGTATAGATACTGGAATTTTTTTTTCTACTAGTAATGGCGGCGATCAGCGACTTATAGCGGGACTGCGGTGGGCATTCTGACACTGGGGGGAACTGACTTGGTGTCACTGACATCACCAGTGACACCAATACAGTGATCAGTGCTAAAAAAAAGCACATACTGTACTAATAGCACTGGGCAGGAAGGGGTCAACATGATGTGTGATCAAAGGGTTAGATGCTCAGTAATCACTGAGACCTGGTGATTTGACCACTGCGAATGGTGGTGCGGGTAGTTCTCACGCACACCCCTACCCGGAAACATAAAATCACATGTGTGTATGTATATATATATATATATGTGGTTTTGCGCACCCCTGCCGCCCTGTAGCAGTATATCTGCTATAGGGCGGTCGGGAAGCAGTTAAAGCAAACTCCCCCATCCGTCATTCTCAGCAAAATAAAGAATGGAGACAATCACTTTTAAAAAAATCACACATCTAGCATTTCTGATGGCCTTCTTGAGTAAGGGCAGATGATTCATATTTACTCCCTGGAATCTCTCTGCCGTTAGCTGAGGCATGCAAGCAGAAGAATCTTCCTTGCTGAAAATCCTTCCTGAAGAAGCCTGGAATGTATGACATGCAGTAAAACGTCTGTCACCACATAGTGTAAATTGGCCCTTAGTGTGTCTCAGGTGTAACCTTCATATTAGTAACTACTTTTCTAGGCACAGCCTCCTCACTACATCCAGCCCACCATTGTGTTCACAGTGAGAGGCGGGACAGCTAATTGATGAGCCAAAGTCATGCCATACTGTACTCACAAATACACACTTTTACCTTGGCTCAGTGCTTGTTGCATTTTTCTATTGAAGTCAGTGGGAACACACGTGAAGGTATGTTAGACATGTGGATGCGTTATGGTGGGCATTGGTATCCAATACAGAGTACATTGTAATGTTAAATACGGTGATGTAAATGTATTTGTACTAAATGTTTGATTAGTTTCTATTGATTTCAGGGGAAACTCATTGGGGGGAAAAGCACACAGGTGTGATTTCAGCCTAAATTTAGAAAGTCATTGCCAGACCTCTCAGCTCCCTCCCCCTGCAGAGTTACTCCAGTAGGGCCCCACACCTAAGTGCTTGCAAATGCCTTTTTAAGGCTGTGTTCTCTGCTCAGATCCTAGTTTAAATGTTTGTAGTGTAAACCGTGTGAACTTTGGTTATTGGGTCAAAGTGCTAATTACTTGTGACATAGTTGTGTATGGTGGGATGTAAGCTAGCATACATACATTTGATAGTAGTTGGGTGTTGCAGATTTATTTCTTAGAATATGCCAGCCGAGGTGTGCACCATGCAGTTTTTTTTAAACTGCTGCCAGTCATATGGAACTTATTGCTCAGGTGTTTTAACTGACGTTCTGCAATACTAGAACTGTGTATTCTATTTTAGCACTTTACTCTAGATTGTAAGATCTGGGCAAAGGGAGGAGGGTTGTGGGCTGATATCTTTTACAATTGGACCAGTGTGAAGTCAGCATTGGAGTAATACATACAGGCCATAGATGGGCCGTTTATTGGCCGAATTTTCGTCCGAACGAATAATCTGCCAATATTCGTACCATTAGTGGGGCAATGTCGTCGGCTGATTTTCGCGGTTCTTGTTTCTTTTTATCGGTCATGCTGGAAAAATCGACGAAAAACGGACGTTTTTCGTAAGCATCGTGGCAGCTGAACGACCGATTTTTTTCATTTATCGGCCGACCATTCGTCTGGTAAACGTCTCATCTATGGTCAGCATAAGGCATGATGAGGCTCACTATAGAAACAAAGGAAGCAATGCCCTGGCTCTACCAGGATGGCTGTCCCATGCAGACCTGGCAAGTCAGTAATGGGGAAAAAAATCAGCTGCTGGGAGACTACAGCCAACACTGTTGACCAGTTTGTTGCCTGTCTCTTGCCTTTCCAGACCTCAGTTTCTGTAATAGAGTATAATAAAACCTGGTTCTGCTTGGAGTTTATGTATAGGTGACAGCCTTTTAATCCTTGTTTACTGCAGAATAAAAATGGCACTCTGCATGATTCCTGACTGGTGCTGGCTCTGCCAAGTTTTGCTAGATGTGCCTTTGGCAGGCCAAAGATTGTGGTTGCAGGAAAGAAAATCCCTCAATTCCCCTATAAACACTGAATGACTTCTGCGGAGCTATTGTGATCTCCCAGTAGGGGAGGGGGGGGGGGGGGGTTGTGGAGAGCTGTCCTTGCTGGGATAACACAATTACTGCTAGTGCCTATAGCCGCTGGCAATTGCATTCTAAAAATCTAACATGCTGGTTGTACCAAAGTTGATCAATGGATAGACTTTGGTACAATCAGCCTGCCCATAGATGGATTGAATCTTGGCCCGGTCCCTGCTCAGTTGGCCAAGATTTGATCCATCTATGGTTGGCTAAAGTATTGGTTAATCAGAACACCATCACAATGAGGCTTTGCCAAGGTGCATCTGGCAGGCAGAGATGAAGTCTGTGCCTCAGACCACAAAACTTGTTCTGTCTCAGTATAGAGCACCCTGTGTTTTTGGGGGTGTAGCTGCAGACTTTTAAAAACACAGCCACTCCCCTTTCTGGTGATCCAGCACTGCTCACCTGAGTGGGTTTCTTCACTGCTCTTTGGTCCCTTGCATTGGCATCTTAACTGTGGGCAGCCAGCTTTGACTGCTCTGGGCTTCACAGCTGGAGGTGAACTTGTGCTCTGAACAGCCACTCAATCACTTCCATGGAGCGGCTGCAGCTGCCTTCAACAGAAGTGATTCGATGGAGTTGAAGCCACTCGATCACTACTTTGGAAGGAATGTTGACTGTATTGCTAAAAGCAATAAAATTAAAATAAAAAGTGCCCCTCCCCCATGTTTATGAGCAAACACATACATAAGTCCTGCGCGCATATGTAAACTGTCAGCGCACCACACTTTTGTATTATGAACTTCAGCGGGGGGCAATAATTTTAGCTTCAGACCTCCTCTATAACTCTAAACTGGTAACCTTTAAAGACTTAAAGCATCACCTATGGAGATTTTAGGTATCTTAGTTTGGCACTGTTCTACTAGAGTACACAATTTTAAAGCATGACATATTTGGTATCTATTTGCTCGGTGTAACATCATTATTTATATTTTAACAGAAATGTACGCTTTATATAGTGTGTAATAAAATTAAAGTGCTTTTTCTGAACTGCCCAAATACCATGTGACATAAAATAAAAAATTGCAACATGCACCATTTTAGTTTCTATAGGGCCTCTCTTAAAAAAAAATTTCACATTTTAATTTTTTTTTCTTCCCATGGAGTGATTACATTTTTCCTGCCTGCAGTTAAGGCACAAGCTGGTTTCCTGGAACTGTTGCTTTCAACACGTTTTTAACCACTTGCCTACCAGGCACTTATACCCCCTTCTTTACCAGGCCAATTTTCAGCTTTCAGCGCTGTCGCACTTTGACAATTGTGCGGTCATGCAAGATTATACCCATATGAAATTTTTATCATTTTTTCTCACAAATAGAGCTTTCCTTTGGTGGTATTTAATCGCCACTGGGCGCTTTACTTTTTGCGCTATAAACAAAAAGTGTGCAAAAAAATTGAAAGTTTCTAATAAATTTTTCAAACAGGTAATTTTTCTCCACTGATGTGCGTTGAGGGGCAGCACTGATGGGCATTGACTGGCACAACCGCTGGGCACTGACTAGCGGCAGCACAGGTGGGCGGCGCTGCTGGGCACAGGTGGGCGGCGCTGCTGGGCACAGGTGGGCGGCGCTGCTGGGCACAGGTGGGCGGCGCTGCTGGGCACAGGTGGGCGGCGCTGCTGGGCACAGGTGGGCGGCGCTGCTGGGCACAGGTGGGGCGGCGCTGCTGGGCACAGGTGGGCGGCGCTGCTGGGCACAGGTGGGCGGCGCTGCTGGGCACAGGTGGGGCGGCGCTGCTGGGCACAGGTGGGCGGCGCTGCTGGGCACAGGTGGGCGGCGCTGCTGGGCGGCGCTGCTGGGCACCGATCATCAGGGCACTAATCATCAGTGCTTTGATGATCGGTGCCGATCCCTGCTCTGACAGCTGCCGGTTCTCGGCAGTACTTCCCTCATGCTCTGACAGCGTGAGGAAAGTGCAGCCGAGAACCGGCAATTGCATTTCCCGGTGATCAGCGTGTCATTGGACACGGCTGATCACGTGGTAAAAGGCCGCTGTGATTGGCCTTTTGCCACATCGTGTGATCAGCTGTGTCCGTAGGACGCACGGTGATCGCCAGGGCGCGCGCAGGAGAGTGCATTCTGGGAGGACGTCATATGACGCCCTCCCAGAACTAGCCAGCCGCAGTGTAGCCATCATTCGGCTATCTGTGGTTGGCAAGTAGTTAAAAGGCAAAGCAGAATTTGACACTGATTTCATAACTGACATAGTAAAGCTATTCTGGCAGCTCACATAATACAGAGCTGTGATCTACATATTTGGAACTGAGCACTAGTCTGATGACTTCACATTTAAAGTACACTTCTACTGCTTGCAGAGCCATCCTGATTGAAAGTACCTCACCCTCCCCTGCCCCAGATGCATATTTACCTGTATCTGACAAGCGTAGCCTTTGCAGTATGTGCAGCTTGTGGCTGCAGTCTCTGCAATGTCCTTACATTAACATCTGTATGTAAAGACACAACTTTGTTTTGGATAGTGAAAAGTTTAGAACTTGTGAAGTTTGTATTGAGGCCCCATGGACACAAGGTGCTTGCTTAGCCATCCTAAACGCAGGAAAGTTTTTGCAGAAAACGCTTTGTGTGCAAACTCATCTAGACGTGTTTAGGTGCATCAAGCACTTGAGTGTTCATTTCATTAGCGTGTATAATGGTTTTATTCTGTCCATCGAAATGAGCTAATACTCAAGCACTTGACCCACCAAGCATTAACGCATGTTTAGATGGGTTAAGCCAGGGCTCAACAAATCCCAGGTTACCATTGCGACTAGAAATTGCGTCCTGGCACCTGGGCTTTTGTCAGCCCATTCACTGTTGGCACCAGGCAGGCCCAAACTTGCCATAGTGCATGCTGGGCCTCTGAGTCGTATGTCCTTGTGGGGCCCAAAGCATCTGCAGCAGCTGGGCTGCTCCTTGAGCCTGTGCCGCTCACCTGGCCTTTCCCTGGCTGGAAGTAGAGTAGAAAGTTTTCCTTCTTACTACAAAATGAAGAGTTAGGCTTTAGAGTCCATTTCAGACATCTGTCTTTTTCGGTGTGTGACATGAAAAATCATGTTTGCTTCCATAGGGAGGAACTATAACACGGTAAAATACTCTGTAATGTACCACATGAACCCAAAATGCAGAGGTATCAAATGACTAAAATTGTGTAGAAAAGTTCTGAGACAAAGTAAATTAGTGGATGTGTTATGTGCTTAAATTTGGTAAGCTTTTTTTAGTTGCTTTTCCTGGCGTCCGGCTTAAACCACTCTAAAATTGCAGGGTGGGAAGGTTTTTAATCTTTCATCTTATCTGTAGATGCAGATTGTGATGGTTTTTACATACTGCCTACTTGTCAGCACATTGAGATTCTGACTCAAATGTGGCTGACTTGCTGCCAAACATTATGTATGACTGAACTTTCCCAATTTCCATTTTTTTGCAATACATTGGTTAATGTATTAGCATGGCTGAGCATTCTTAAGATCTGTATTATAACTTTCAGCCATAGTGATGTGCAGGTTTCCTCTGCATGTGTGACTTGTTAGCTATTGCTCATGTGACTTTGTATTAATCATCCTGCTACATGCAGCCCAGTTGATGTGTTAACCCTATACTTGCATTACTGCAATGATGTGTTTTTTACATTTTTTATTTTTCAGTTGTGTACAAATAACCAGCAGTCATCATGAATCCAGGTGCTCCTAGCTACCCTATGGCATCTCTTTATGTTGGGGACCTCCACCCTGATGTTACAGAGGCTATGCTTTATGAGAAGTTTAGCCCCGCTGGGCCGATTTTGTCCATTAGAGTCTGCAGAGACATGATTACACGTCGATCTCTTGGCTATGCTTATGTTAATTTTCAGCAGCCGGCGGATGGTAAGTTGCTGTTGAAACTTCCCCATCCATATTGTATGCATTCTGTATTAATCGTGCTTGACACAGAAGTCTGTAAGCATCCACATATCTGCTGTTATATGGATTGAATAGCAAGTGATGGCTCTCACATTTAGGTGCTGGTGCCTAGCACAGAATACATTAAGTACTAAATGTCATTCTGATGAGTGTTACAATTTTGGTCCCGCATTCCCAACTTGTGAGATAATGTTTTCAGTTGGGAAGGAGTGTTGCCCATTTGCGCAACAGCAGTGGAATTGTTTAAATCTGGTGTGCATCAGGTTTAGTTCAGATGACGTCACCTGTGTGATGCAAATGACTGTTAAAGTCTCCTTTACATAACAGCTGATGGCCTTTAATTGTTGCACAATTCTTGTAACGTTTTACTTAGATTGCTTTAAGGTCACCTTAAATTTAAATGTGATCTCTAATTGGCACATCTTGCCACATAAATTTACAAATTTGTCTATCTTGTATATTTTGTCCTTGACCCCTTCATTACTTACTACCTAATAAAATATTGTGGAATTCATGTTTGGAGTGTATGCAGATTGATATCTGAGCCACACAATATACCCAATGCCCCATGCATGTGCCCTGCATGCCCTATCCTAGTTTTTTGTATTCTTAGCAACCAGTGCAGTACCAACAGAATCCATTGGATAGTGAATAGGTTGACAAAATGACTTTCAGGTATTTCTGATTAAAATGCATTTTAATGGAGTTAACTTTTTTCTTCAGCTGAGCGTGCTCTGGACACAATGAACTTTGATGTCATCAAAGGCAAACCAGTGCGCATCATGTGGTCCCAGCGTGATCCATCTCTGCGTAAAAGTGGCGTTGGAAACATCTTTATCAAAAACCTTGATAAGTCCATTGACAATAAGGCTTTATATGACACATTTTCAGCCTTTGGAAACATCTTGTCTTGCAAGGTTGGTAAATTTGGAGCTTTGCACTAGTTGATTAACTCAGTGCGGAGAATGGTATTCATGATTTTATCTCTTACAGGTGGTCTGTGATGAAAATGGATCAAAAGGTTATGGATTTGTCCATTTTGAGACCCAGGAGGCAGCCGAACGAGCAATTGATAAAATGAATGGCATGCTTTTGAATGATCGTAAAGTGTATGTATTAAGTTATAGCAATGATTTCCTTTCAAATTGATGCTGCAGGATAGTTATTGCATATTTGGCTTGAACCATATGTTACTTAGTATAGGATCTAGAAATCTTTCAGCCACCTAGAACCTATATCCATTACGCCTTTTCCTAAAAATAATAGATCAATGAGTAATCTCTAAGGTGACATGATGACTAGTTTGAGTTCTCAAGGCAGTTGTACATGTATATTATGCTCGGAAGCAAGTCAAATTCTGATTAACCCGCTTCTAATTTGCCTTTAGCTTCAGACAATATGCTGGCCTTGACTTAAGTTTTGAAAGTCCATGTTCCTTTTGCCACCCAACACCTTAAAGTCCAGTGGCAGGACCTCTGTAGACCATCTATTGCTGGAAGGCCTTACCATCAGTTGAAACTGTGACTTAGTTCTAAATTAACAAAAGTAAGGGTCACAATACATCACACAACCTGTTTTTGTTTTTTTCCTTTTGAAACTTGCATGTTCACTTTAACCACTTCCCAAGCGGTCTATAGTAAAAATACATCCTCATTTGGAAGTGGAATACTGGGGTTATGGCTACAGCAACGTGCCATAACACCGGTATTTTTTCAGCTGGCAATTCCCTTTCGAAGTGATCCTAGCAGCAGTTTTACTGCTGGATCACTTTTAGAAGTGGCGAGGTGGTGCTTGCAACCCCCTCCTGCCACTTTCCTGCGGTTCTCTGGCTTACCTGGATGATTGGCGAGCCTGAGAACCAATCTGATGATCGCTGCAGCTGGGCAAAGATGAGTGGAGGAAAGATGGCCTCCACGTATCTATGGCCTAGGAGGACCACAGCGATCTCATTACATCACTTCCAGTTCTGGCCTAATGTAAACAAGGTCTGATCTAAAAAAAAATTGAAAGGGTCTGTGTAAAATAAAGCGTTCCTGTTCCCCCATGCCTGCGTGCAGTGGTGAACACGTACGTCTGTCACATCCACATATGTAAATGGTGTTCAAACCACAAGTAAGGTATTGCTGTGAACGCAAGAGCAATAATTCTAGCACTGGAGCTCCTCCTCCTAAACTGTTAACCTGTAGAAATGTAGTCACCTATGGCTATTAAGTACCATAGTTTAGCGTCATTCCACGAGTGTGCACAAACATGTTGGGTATCTATTTACTCAGTGTAATATCTTTCATATTTTACAAAAGTTGTTTGTTTTTTTAAGTGTATTTTTTCCTCAAAAAATTGTTTGAAACATTGCTGCGCAAATACCATTTGACATAAAAAATTGCAGCGACTATTTTATTCTCTAGGGCCTTTGCTACAAAAAATGTTTGGGGGTTCTTAGTAACTTTCCAGCAAAAAACATTGATTTTGGGCAGCACAGTGGCTAGCTAAATGGTTAGCCCTTCCACCTAGCAGTACTAGGGACGCTGGTTTGAATCCCAACCATGGCACCACCTGCCTGGAGCTTGCATGTTCTCCCTGTGCCTGCGTGGGTTTCCTCCGGGTACTCCGGTTTCCTCCCACTCTCCAAAGACATGCTGGTAGGTTAATTGGCTCCTGTCTAAATTGGCCCTGTATGTGTATGTATGAATGTAAGTTAGACTTTAGATTGTACACTCCTTGAGGGTTAGGGACTGATGTGAATGTACAATATGTAAATTGACAGCGCTATACAAGTACCTGTTGTAGTAATTTTTACATATGAGAGAAGTGTCAGAATTGGCCCTGAAAATGGTATGGTTAATAAAGTGGTTAATGGTATGGATTGGGAATGTAGATTGGTAAAGTGAGGTAAAGGTTTTAATTTTCCTTCTACAGATTTGTTGGCCGTTTTAAATCTCGCAAAGAAAGAGAAGCTGAACTTGGTGCTAGAGCCAAGGAATTTACAAATGTGTACATCAAGAACTTCGGTGAAGACATGGATGATGAACGCCTCAAGGAGCTGTTTGGCAAATATGGTGAGTTGCCCCTTAATGTTCTCAGATCACTTAACTTATAATATTCTGGGTGGGTAAAGGTTTTTAAGATCATACTGTTTTTAACCGCTTGCCCGCTATCCTATAGCAGAAGTACTACTACAGGGCTGTGCAAAGTGACATGTGTATGTATATTTGCATTTCCAGTTAGAGCGCACATGTTCCCCCCCCCCCCCCCCCCCCCATCCCCCTACCTGCGCCACCATTGGCAGCTAGAGATGTCAATCTCCGGCTGGAGATTCCTCACCGGCGGTTATCGGGGAAAGCTGACGGGAGAAACCTGAGTATAAACACATGCTGCTTTTTATTTTTCTGCACAGCAGAGAAATACAAAGCAGCATGTCTCCCTAGTAAAAACACACAGCACATAATGTAGAACATAGTTAACCCTTTGCCCTAGATGTTGACCCCTTCCTGCCCAGTGCCATTAGTACAGTACTTTTTATTAGCACTGATCACTATATTAGTGTCACTGGGGATGTCAGTGGCAGTTCCCACCCAATGTCAGATCGCCCGTCAGTCCCTTTTTATCAGTCGCTGCCATTACCAGTCTAAAAAATAAACGCCATTATATACCCGCCATTTGTAGACGCAATAACTTTCCTGTAAACCAATTTATGTATTGGGAGTTTATTTAGTGTAGACATGTAGCAGAGTACATTTTGGCCTAAATGTGTTAAGAAATTTGATTTTCCAATTTTTTTTATTGGATGTTTTATAGCAAAAGGTAAAAGTTTTTTTCAAAATCGTGTTTTTTGTTTATTGTGCAAAAAATAAACTGCAGAGGTGATCAAATACCACTGAAAGAAAGCTCTATTTGTGGGTGAAAAAATTACATAAATTTAATTTATGTACAGCGTTGTATGACCGCAATTGGAAAAGTAATGCAGCGCTGTATTGCAAAAAATGGTCTGGTCAGGAATGCAGTGAATCCTCTGGAGGGCAAGTGGTTAAAGCACAGGACCTTAAATTTCCCAGATATTACTATGCTAAATGCAACTTTTTGTTTCAGGACCTGCCCTCAGTGTTAAAGTTATGACTGACGATGGTGGGAAGTCCAAAGGATTTGGATTTGTCAGTTTTGAGCGGCACGAGGATGCTCAGAAGGTAAATTGAGATGTTGCAAAGTTTAATGTAATCAGTGTATGAAGTTTTAGGTCTCAAACGTATTCCCTGAAAGCCCCTTCCCTTCTTGATCATGAATCAATTAAATTGATGCATCATATCCCTCTCCTCACAATCCAGACCTTTTTGCAGCCATGATAATGTATTGGCTTCCAGCAGTTCCTGTGTTCTACCGCAGCCCTGGTTGTGTGGGAGGGGCTTTCAAAAAGTCCATAGGTCGCCACAGCCTTCCCCATTGTCGCCCCCCTTCCCCCAGAGCATGCCCATTCAGTTGGCTGTCTTGTTAATGTTCATGCTAGGTTTTCCTAGGTGGGTGGGCTTGTTTGCAGCTACGCAGCCATTGCCAGGGGAACATAAAATGCCCCTCACTGTTCCTGTGCAAATCCTGTCTGGTGAATGTCCCAGCTGTACATGGATTCTGTTGAACACGGTGTAGCCAATATACTTCAAATCAATGCAAAATTTAAATGTAGAAGCGTATCATACAGGTGCACACAGAAATAAACGTTGTGCAGGATATTTACAGTATATCTACAATGCTTCCTGCCTTTAAGGCAGAGATTTCCTATTTTATTTCAGGTACTAATATAGCGCCGTCAATTTTTACGTAGTGCTTTACATATATAGTACATTCATATCAGTCCCTAACCCTCAAGGGGCGTACAATCTAAGGTCCCTAACTTACATTCATACATACACATTCTAGGGCCAATTTAGATAGAAACCTACCAGCATGTCTTTGGAGTGCACACAGGGTTACTGTCAGTGGTCCGCTGTGGGGATGGATTGCACAGTTCAGTGGTCAGCAGAGACTAAGTATGTAGCTCAATATTGAGTCACTAAAGTCAAAATTATGTACTCAGATGAAATAGTAGAACTGCTAGCAGTGATCAGAACTGTAGCAGCATCTGTGCATGCCTGGTAAAGCAGAGCTTCTTGTTTGGAAACTGGGCGGTTCTCAGGGTGGTTCCTTCTTACTCAAGTAATGCTGAAACGAAAGTATGCAGGAAAGACCGTAGTTGCAAGTGTAAACACAGGAGGAGAGGCTGCTTATGACAGGAAAAGGCAAGTTAGAATTCTGTGTTAAGCAGAATGTTTGTTTTTTAAATACAGATCTAATTTTTTGCATTTTTTTTTGTGAAACCTAAAAGTTCAGTATTAACATTTTTTTCCCATGAAGTACTAGTATAAAATACAGTGTGAAAGTGAATTTTTCTCTCCCCTTCTTCCTGAAAACTTTGTTGTATGCTAGTATTTAGGTCCCCTACTTTGCAGCAGGAGCTGTGATATTAAAAATTTTGCCCTGTAAATTTAACCTTCTGAGTAGTGTTCCTTCCTTCTCTATTTACATTAGTATGCTGCCATATTAGTCCTGGGGGAGAAGTGGAGTGAGCAGAGCCGTAGACCACTATCTTTACTACTGGCTGTAGAACATGCAAATACTTAAATGACTATAGCCTGAAAGAAACATGGAAATTGCCATTCTTGTCAGACTTCTGAGAATGCTAACTGGCTGTCACTTGGTTTGGAATAGCAGCCAGGCAACCTGTACTTTAAAGCATTGAGGCTGCCTATGAGGACATCTCAAAGTAGATAATGACAATATGACAGACATATGAAAACTACAATATTCAATTTTTTGATTCTGTAATGTTTTAACAGTGGGTACATCAGTCTTGTCTGACACATTTCCTTTAAAAACAACCCTTAACCCTCCGCCTCAACGCTAACGCATAACATTGTTAAATGTGAGGGTAAATGTGTATTATCTCAGTTATAAATGTTCTGGTAATGCTTTCATACCAACAAAGGGGGTTTCTAATTTATTAAGATGGCACTGTATGGCATCTGCTCAGATATTCTTTACCCTTGGAATGTTTACAATGGCTAAATGGTTTGCTTCAAACTCTGTCAAAATAAAATTCCACGCTTCATTTCTCTGCAATACATGCATATTTCCCATGTTCTGTTCCCTTCAAACACCCTGCAAGTACAAAAATTCCTTGTCAGTAATGCACCCCTGTTGTGAGTTGACACTACACAGAATATTTGTGGACTGAGTGTCAGCCCTGCCCATTGTACTCTGCTCAACTACAATTCCACTCTCAAATCTCTACAATATAAAAACAAATTATTTTATAGACCTTGATGAGAACTGTGAAGCTAAATAGCCTCTTGGAGATAACCTAGGATATCTGTTTCTGACTAGATTAAGGTTTTTCTGAACTGGTTGATAACTCTGTGACATTTCAGACCAAAGGAGCAAGTTCGTTATAATTTTCTTACATACACTTTTAGGTCTGGGAAGTCTGTTGACTGTTTTTTTCCCTTTCAGGCTGTTGATGAAATGAACGGTAAAGATATGAATGGCAAAGCCATCTATGTGGGTCGTGCCCAGAAGAAAGTTGAGCGGCAGACAGAGCTTAAACGCAAGTTTGAGCAAATGAAGCAAGATCGCATCACCAGATACCAGGTTAGTGGCTTGTTTTTACATGTTGACTCCAGTCAAAACTTTGATCAAGCACCAAGTTAAAACTGGTTGGCATCTGTCTTGTTTTTATCTGCGTCCTTGTTGACACTGTCCTGTTTGTGGCTAGCAGTAGTTGGGATGGAAAGGGAGGGCAATCTCTCCCAACAGGCCAAGACATGGCAATAAACCACAATTCTGTCCTGTTCTTACTATATCAAAACCTGAAGAAAATGTCTGGAACTCTTGAAAGGGAATGTCTGATTGCAGAGTATTTGTAGTATAAAGGTTTGCATATTTTGTGAGTTGCAGTCTACCTGTTCATATTTTCATCATCAGGACATCTACAGTTTGTGGTTGGTTATCTTGATGCGTAGCTTGGTCGTTTGAGGTCTTGTTGGCCTGTGATAAAGGAAGTTGGCAATATATTTAGTTTTAGACAGTACGTTGCATGACCCTGAGATCAGCAGTAAAGCATCACTAAGCAGGAAGCACAGGTTGTATAATAAAGCATGCCCTATAATTGCATACTGCACCTGGAGGTTCATTTTCATGCGTATAAGGGGTAAATATGCTGCCGGAAACCGTTTCAATTTGCATATGCGCAAGTACATGAAGCTCTATATTTTTGTTTTTTTAGGGTGTTAACCTTTATGTAAAAAATCTGGATGATGGCATAGATGACGAGCGACTTCGCAAAGAATTTTCCCCTTTTGGCACCATTACAAGTGCTAAGGTGAGCATTTTAGTGTTTGCCTTTTAAAGGACCCCGTCTAGATATCAGTTTTTCCTTAACTAAAAATGTTTTCATCCTTCAGGTCATGATGGAAGGAGGGCGCAGTAAGGGCTTTGGCTTTGTATGTTTCTCCTCTCCTGAAGAAGCAACCAAAGCTGTAACAGAAATGAATGGCAGAATTGTGGCAACAAAACCCCTGTATGTTGCACTGGCTCAGCGTAAAGAGGAGCGTCAGGCTCATCTGACTAATCAGTACATGCAGAGGATGGCAAGTGTCAGGGCTGTGCCTAATCCGGTCATCAATCCCTACCAGCCACCACCATCAAGTTATTTCATGGCTGCCCTTCCACCGGTATGTATTCATGCACTTAGACATGCACAGTCAATGTAAAGCCATTAGATTGGATGTTAATATCCTTTTTCTTGCAGGCACAAAACCGTGCTGCATATTATCCAGCTGGACAGATTGCACAGCTTAGACCAAACCCTCGCTGGACCGCACAAGGTGCCAGACCACACCGTAAGTTAAACCTTACCTGTGTTAATATCTAAAGTTCAAGGCAAGCCTGTTCAGTTAGTCATTTTCAATATTATTGGTATGGGTTTTAATGGTGCTTTTACTATCTAGGTTATTCTAATCATTTGTGCTTGCGTTAAGGAATTTTCTCTGCTTTTACCGTGGCTGAAATGCATGGTTTTTCTATTTTGGTCTTTAGCAGCCAAAGATGGTGATGCAGCCAGATCAGTTGACGATACTTTACAGTGTATGAATGGCGCTGATTGTACATGCAATGTAACTGTTGGACAGATTAAAATCCTGCCCCAATATGTTGCTACCTTCATTTCTCCTGTTGCAAGTGATCGCCCCCTTTTCATTGACAGTAGAAAAAGTGTTGGAAAGTACAGGGGTTGAATAAATCATACCTACTGCACAGCTGGATGACCTTATAGTTGTGAGAGCTGTAATTGGTATGCTAGTAGTTTTCTTAAAATCCACGTGTTCTTGCAGCATTCCAGAACATGCCAGGAGCCATCCGCCCTGCTGCTCCACGTCCACCGACCTTCAGCACAATGAGACCAACCTCTTCTCAGGTCCCACGCGTTGTTTCAGCTCAGCGTGTTGGTAAGTTCGAAGTACAACTGTGGTTACAATTTGGCAGACTTGCACAGGGACTATTTGCAGCTGATGCTTAAAGCAGTTCTATTGTAGATTTTAAAAAACTAAATACAAAGTACAAGAGTTATACTTTCCTGTCCTAATGCCGGTTTTCCGCATTCTTTGCTCCATTGCAGAGTTGCAGACTCTGGAAATCTTCACATCTGACACTTACCAGGCTCTCCACTGTAATATACAATGACATAGGGAGAGGCGGATGGGCCCCACAGTGGAGGGCAAGGGATGCAGGCAGCCAACACCTAGAAGTGTCAGATGTGGAGGTTCTGCTGGAGACTAGGTTGAGTGAAAATTCGAAGACTGGGCACCAGGACAGGCAAACACTTGAGGTTTTTAAACTTCGTATACCAGTATAACTTTTAGTAAATAGTTTCATGTTTGATATACCAGCTTCTATTGTGTAACTGGTATGAAGGCAAAGAGGAAAATGTGCTGCTGGGCAAGGAGATTAAAGGTCAAAGACTTTGCACTTTCTCCTTAAGACCTTGTTTACACCTGCAGAAAGGGGAGGGGGGTCAGTGAGGTAAAAACCCTAGTACCACGGACCAAATATGACTGATCCAACTGCATGGGGCTGCACAGCAACCTTGTGTGATGGTGTGGGTTTTTAGAGGTTAATACGGGTGGTGAGGAAGCGGCATATGCCACATCCTTGCCTGTAAAATGCCTTCTGAAGAGCAATCCACAATGGATCACACTTCAGAGGGTGACAAGTAAAAACCTTCCCCAAAGACTGCAATGAGTTTGCATTTGAAATAGTTTCTCTGTTCGTGTATCTTAGGTCCTTTCTCATGCCCATGCTGTAATGGGCCTTTACTGTGCACATTAACATGCATTCTGGCCATTGTAGACTCCCAAAATAGTGTGCTTAGTGTACTAAACTTTTAAAACTGCATGTCTGGGCAAATGATTACAATACTGTTAAATACTGGATTTCTAACCAGATAGCCATTCTTTTGATTTCCTGCTGCAAGCCTCCTACAAGGTACAGAAAGACAATACACAGATCTTAATATTTGAGCAGTGAGTATGTGTAGAGCAGGGACTCTCTAGTAAACTGCTCTCATTGTAAACTCTGGGGAACGTTCCTCGTTTCAGTGACTAGGGATTGACTTGATCTAACTTTGCTGGGTTTTTTTTTTCCCCCTCTACAGCTAACACTTCAACACAGACAATGGGTCCTCGTCCTGCAACTGCTGCGGCTGCTGCAGCTGCAACGTCAACAGTACGAACTGTCCCGCAGTACAAGTATGCTGCTGGTGTGCGCAATCCACAGCAACACCTTAACACTCAACCACAAGTTGCTATGCAGCAGGTAATTACAAACTGTCCTCTGGCTGGGATTCTGTTCTTGACAGCTGCCTTTGACAGTAACTTACCATCTGAAGTCTAAAACGTGAATTAACTGAGTATTTTTGCAACTTATACTTGCTGTAGGGTCTTGTAGAGATGCACAAAGTGTTTTGTCTCGTCAACATCCTTTCGTTTTCTCCTGCTTCTGACTAGCTCATTAACCCTTTCTGTTTTGATTGGGAAGTGCTCAGCGAGTCTCACATGGACCGGGCTCGAACAATTTTCATTGTGTAAATGGCCTTAATATCCATTTTACATTTTAAGGACTATTGTACTTTTTATGAGCTGCTGTTGAAGAATTGGGGTATTTGTCTCATAAGTACTATTGCTGATCAGTGTGTTTTCCTTTTCAGCCTGCTGTCCATGTTCAGGGTCAGGAACCCTTGACTGCTTCTATGCTGGCTGCGGCACCTCCCCAAGAACAAAAGCAAATGCTTGGTAGGTAGTTGTGGCTTACATGATATTGTACCAATCTGACTTCCAGGATTGTGGCTGAACCATTGCTTTATTTTTAGGTGAGCGCCTTTTCCCACTGATCCAAGCTATGCACCCGACTCTTGCTGGAAAGATCACTGGAATGTTGTTGGAGATTGACAATTCTGAGTTACTCCACATGCTTGAGTCACCAGAGTCCCTTAGATCAAAGGTATGTGAATGTTTTTGCTTTAACACGTGACAAATTGGTGTAGAAGCTGCATTTCTAAAAATGTGCTCTCTCCAGGTTGACGAAGCAGTCGCCGTCCTTCAAGCCCATCAAGCCAAGGAAGCTGCACAGAAGGCAGTTAACAATGCCACTGGAGTGGCAGCAGTCTAATATGTAAGCTGGGGAGACTTTTATTTCACAATTTCATGTGTGAAGTGATTAATTCTCAAACTGTCGTCAGGATTTCTGCAGTTACCTTGGTATTGGCATGGATTTTCACACATGTATTCTGCTCTTTTAGGATGAGTACCTGCAATCTGCTAGGTCTCTGGTATTTTGACCGCTGGCTTACCACTGAGGCCCTTTTTCCTTAAATTTTGCTGCCTTCTGGAGTTGCTGCTTTTATACATAGTGACACTGGTTGCCCTTACCAGAAAGTCCTACTGTTCCCAAAATACCCCTTGGGTATCCTCCGTACATGATCTCACTACCTGTGCCCCCTGACACTAGTGATTCTACAATTTTGGCTTGTGCTCGGAACTTTGATTGTGGGATATACCTGCAATTAAGACATTGATTTCTTCAAGCAGTCTAAGACTTTTATGCACAAGGCCAATCTTCTCATTATTAAACTTTTTGTATTGATATTATCCCCTGCTTATTGTGTTGTTCCTTGCCAATTGTGGCAATTGCCCTAATGACTTTTTTCGGCATTGCTTCAGACGTTCTTTATCATTCTCATTCACACTCCTGAATAAGCGGAACCTTTATTCCGAGAAAAACGTCGAGTCAAACTATTCCCAGTCGGATATTAACCAAACAACAATTTGTATGCTTTAGTATTGATGTTATTTGGATTTTTTGTGTACATAATATTGGGATCAAGAGTGTTTTCATAAATAAGGCTTTGTTATTTACTGGTGTGTAATATGAACTGCTCTATTTTTTATGATGCAGATCATTTTTAATCAAGATGTAAATAAAAAAATTTTCCATTTAAATACTGTTAAGTTGTCAGGTACCTTTTAAAGTCTGCTTTTAATTTTTTTTTGTGTATATGTGAAAGTTACCGATTTCTGAATGGGGCAAAATACCATCCTATATTGGTCACACGAGTGTTGCTTTTCCAGTCAGAGAATCCCAATAGGTGGCTGTTGTCTTGGTGAATAAATGAACCTTACGATGAAATGTATGTTGTAATAAAAATCACACATCCTTAAGTATGGCTAATACCCGGTTACATGCTTGATTAGTGGATAGGTAGCAGAAACATGGACAGAATTTGGGTTGTGGACCAACTGTTGGACATTGGTAGCCTGAAGTTTGGTTGCATGTGGCCACTTTGGCTGAACTGTTCCCATTTTGCCAGTCCTTGCAAAGTGTTAGAAACTTTTACATAACTGACTTAAATACTGTGACTTTTTCATGAAAGAAAAATATAAAGTGACGCAGAAAAGATGAGTCTGCACCATTGTCTTATTTTTGTGTATTGATTTGTTTGTCCCATTAATGAGTCCACTTCGTTTTACTGTTGACTGACTGACTGCCTCTGCTGAGTCTATTCAGAGCATCAACTACTTTCAGTAAATTGACAATTTCTAAGATTCGTTTTGAATTCTAATCCTGCTACTTTGAAGTCATGTCCACATGCTCTTGATCTTGGCTTTATATTAAAAACCCTGCCATCTTACTTTTCCAGTCTCTGGACTGTCTTTATCTTTTTTTGTAAGTGAGGTCTACAGAACTTATACCGTATTCTAAATGAGGTCTAACAAAAGGTCTATATAGCCACTTGCCCCTCCTAAGGATTTACCCCCCCTTAATGACCAGGCCTCTTTTTGCTACTCGGCGCTGCACTACTTCAACTGATAATTGCACGGTCATGCAATGCTGCTTCCAAACGAAATTTACATCCTTTTTTTCACACAAATAGAGCTTTCTTTCGGTGGTATTTGATCACCTGTGTGCTTTTTATTTTTCACGCTATAAACAAAAAAAGACCAAAAATTTATTTTGAAGAAAAACAATATTTTTTACTTTCAGCTATAAAAAATATATAGTAAACTCAGTTAAAAATTTAGGCCAAAATGTATTCTGCTACATGTTTTTGGTAAAAAAAAAAAATCCCAATAAGTGTTTGCTTTGTGTGAAAGTTATAGCGTCTACAAACTGGTATAGATACTGCAATTTACGCCATTTTTTTGCTATACAGCGTTGCGCTAGTTTAACGGACCAATTGCGCAGTCATGCAATATAGTACATAAATGAAATTTACATTTTTTTTTTTCCCCCCACAAATTGAGCTTTCTTTCGGTGGTATTTGATCGCCTGTGCGTTTTTTTTTTTTTTTTTTTTTTTTTTTTGCGCTATAAAAAAAGGCTGACAATTTTGAGAAAAAAAAAATATTTTGGATATTTTGGACTTTTTGCTATAAAACACAGTACAGGAGAATGTCCAGTAAAAAAGAAAATTTAAAAATCAAATTTATTCATAAATTTCTGCCAAAATGCATTCTGCGACATACTGTATTTTTCGCTCCATAAAAAAAACAGGGGATTCTGAACCAATGGACTGCAGACACAGTACAGGATGACCAGTGACTGCGGACGTAGTACAGGGGATGGCCAGAGACTGCGGACGTAGTACAGGGGATGGCCAGGGACTGCGGACGTAGTACAGGGGATGGCCAGGGACTGCGGACGTAGTACAGGGGATGGCCAGGGACTGCGGACGGACGTAGTACAGGGGATGGCCAGGGACTGCGGACGTAGTACAGGGGATGGCCAGGGACTGCGGACGTAGTACAGGGGATGGCCAGGGACTGCGGACGTAGTACAGGGGATGGCCAGGGACTGCGGACGTAGTACAGGGGATGGCCAGGGACTGCGGACGTAGTACAGGGGATGGCCAGAGACTGCGGACCAGGGGATGGCCAGAGACTGCGGACGTAGTACAGGGGATGGCCAGGGACTGCGGACGTAGTACAGGGGAGGATGGCCAGGGGATGGCCACTGCGGACGTAGTACAGGGGATGGCCAGGGACTGCGGACGTAGTACAGGGGATGGCCAGGGACTGCGGACGTAGTACAGGGGATGGCCAGGGACTGCGGACGTAGTACAGGGGATGGCCAGGGACTGCGGACGTAGTACAGGGGACGTAGTACATGGCCAGGGACTGCGGACGTAGTACAGGGGATGGCCAGGGACTGCGGACGTACGTAGTACAGGGGATGGCCAGGGACTGCGGACGTAGTACAGGGGGCCATGGGGATGGCCAGGGACTGCGGACGTAGTACAGGGGATGGCCAGGGACTGCGGACGTAGTACAGGGGATGGCCAGGGACTGCGGACGTAGTACAGGGGATGGCCAGGGACTGCGGACGTAGTACAGGGGATGGCCAGGGACTGCGGACGTAGTACAGGGGATGGCCAGGGACTGCGGACGTAGTACAGGGGATGGCCAGGGACTGCGGACGTAGTACAGGGGATGGGGGACTGCGGACGTGGCCAGGGACTGCGGACGTAGTACAGGGGATGGCCAGGGACTGCGGACAGGGGATGGCCAGGGACTGCGGACGTAGTACAGGGGATGGCCAGGGACTGCGGACGCGGACGTAGTACAGGGGATGGCCAGGGACTGCGGACGTAGTACAGGGGATGGCCAGGGACTGCGGACGTAGTACAGGGGATGGCCAGGGACTGCGGACGTAGTACAGGGGGCCATGGCCAGGGGGACTGCGGACGTAGTACAGGGGGGACTGGCCAGGGGGACAGCAGGGACCTTTGGGGAGGGAGGGGTAGAGCGGGTACCTGAATTTGACAGGTACCCGCTCCCACTTCCGCGGGGGAGTTCTCCCTCAGGTACCCGCTCCCACTTCCCGCGGCGGCTTCTGTGACAGCCGGGTGCCCACTGCGAATGCGCGAGAAGCGCTGCACTTTGTGAATGGCCCAGAGCCTTCTGGGACATGTCGTGTCCCAGAAGACACCGGACCATTCACAAAGCACGGCGCTTCTCACGCATGCGCAGTGGGCACCCGGCTGTCACAGAAGACTGCAGCGCTGGAGCGAGGAACAGGTAAGGTCCTGCAGTAGAGAACAGCTGAGCGGCCGGCCCGGTGTTCTGACATGGTGGCAGCAGAAATACCGGACCAGCCGCTTTGCATGCGTTCCATAAGACGCACTGACATTTTCCCCCCTTTTTTGGGGGGAAAAAAGTGCGTTGTCTTAAGCAAAAAATACGGTATCTTTGCTACAAAAAAAACCCAATACGTGTAAATTGGTTTACGTGAAAGTTATATCTTTTGCAAATGGCGGGAAAGATACTGGGATTTTGCTTTGCGCGTGCCCCCTACCTGTTTTAAAATGTGGTTTTGCCCAGCCGTGCCGCCCTGCCGCCGTATTTCTACAGTGGCTGGGCGGCATGTGGATAGAGCAATCAATATTTTTCGTAAGTCTAAAAAAGATTGTGTGGTCAGATTGCAATGTATATAGTGACCCTAAGGGGTTATTTACTAAACCTGGGGAGTGTGAAATCTGGTAGAGCTCTGTATAGAAACCAATCCGCTTCCTGAATTTTTTTTTTTTAGTCAAAGCTTAATTGAACTAGCTGAAGTTGGTGTTACTAAACCCACAACAATAAAATTAGTTTGTATCTGCAGTAACGCATGCTTGTTCTACTCACTGAAACCTAAAGGGGGTTAATCCTCTGCATTGTGTAAAAAGGCTGATCTGACCTCTGATCCTCCCATTCCTTCAGTGTCCCCCCATATCTCCTGATAAAACATTGTGTGGAGTCACTGCACATGCTCAGATTGGTGTGTCTTGCTAGAGCGGTTTTCTTGGGAGAGGTAGATGTGATCAGCACAGGGCCAATCAGCACTGTCCAGAGGTCAGGGATTCTGCATCCTCCTACAGCAAAATGAAAACTCCTACAAGCTTTAACATGTGTTCTGCTGGACACTGATAGAAATCACAAGACTGCTCTAACTGCTAAGGTATTTAGCTTTTTATATTTACTCAAATAATTTCACTTCCGTGTACTGTGAGACCAGATAGTGAATGCAGGGTCCTGGGTTTAGTAACCTTGAAAAGCTGTTTGGCTACCATGCACAAGCAAAAGTAATCCTTTGCGATATTTTACATGTGTCAGCACTAATAAAGATGAGCAATTA